TCTGTGTAATTACAGTCTTTTGAAATGTATTGAGGCTTGTTTTATGGCCCAGAACATGACCCATCGTAGTGAATATTCCATGTGCATTTGAAAAGAATGTGCAGGTTTTGATTGTAGTAGTCTATAAATGTCAATTATATCTATGTGGTCGATAGTATAATTCAGATATTCTGTAGCCTTACTAATAATTTTGCTTAGTTCTTCTGTTGAAATTACTGAAGGATCTTAACAATCTCCAGCTATGATTGTTTATTTCCTCCTCTAGTTTTGTTAATTTCTACTTTATGTATTTTGCAGGTGTATTACTAGGTACGTACACATCTGTAATCATTACGTCATCCTGAAAAACTAATCTTATCACGATGACATTTTATCTCCAGTAATGTTCCTTGTCTTGTCGTTGTCTCTAGAATCTCTAGCAATAGTTCTTGTTCGGAGTCTTTTTTGTCTGATTATTTTAGCCACTTCAGCTTTCTTAAGATCAGAGTTTACACGGCGGGTCTCTTTTTATTCTATTACTTTCAACCTGTGTGTGCCTTTATTTTTAAAGAGGATTTCTTCTAGGGAGCATATAACGGAATCTTGATTGTTATCCAGGCTGATCATTTCTGCTTTTCCATTCAAGTGTTTAGTCTGTTTACATTTAATGTAATATTAATATACCTGATTTAGCAAAAGAATTCTGCCATTTGCTTTCTATTTGTATCATCTGTTTTTTGTTTCTCTGTTCTTTATTTCTTGCCTTATTTGGATAATCAAATATGTTAAGTAGGATTTCATTTGATTTCTCTATTGGCTTTTTAGTTATACCTTTTTGTATATTTTTTTGCTAGTGGTTGCTTCAGAGGTTACAATGTGCATCGTTAATTTATCACAATTTACAGAGTTAACATGTTACTACTTTAGGTAAAACACAAGTTTGTCCCCAAACTCTGTTATAATTGTCATAGAGAACATCTACATGTGACATAACCCCACAGTGGAGTGTTAGGAAGTTTTTGTTAAATAGTTTTATGTATTTAAAAAGAAGAAAAGAAAAAATACAGTTTTTAAATAATTACCTGCATATTTATTTATCATTTTAAGTGATATTTACTCCTTCTAATAGATCCAAATTTACTATCTGGTGTTAATTCATTTCATTCTGAAGAACTTCCTTTAGCATTTCTCATAGGGTAGACAGAAACATTTATCAGGTTTTGTTTACGCAAAAAATGTCTTTATTCCACTTTCAGTTTTTAAGAATAGTTTTGCTGGAGACTGAGTGCTGGGCCGATAGGGTTTTCCCCCAAGCATGTTGAAAAAATGTCATTCCAGGCCAGGCACAGTGGCCTATGCCTGTAATCTCAGCACTCGGGGGGAGGTTGAGGCAGGTGGATCACCTGAGGTCAGGAGTTTGAGACCAGCCTGACCAACCTGGTGAAAATACAAAATTTAGCCAGGTGTGGTGGTGGGTGCCTGTAATCCCAACTACTTAGGAGGCTGAGGCAGGAGAATTGCTTGAACCCAGGAGACGGAGGTTGCAGTGAGCCGAGATCGCGCCATTGCACTCCAGCCTGAGTGACAGAGCAAGACTCAGTCTCGGAGAAACAGCATATTCCATCGTCCCATTGCCTTCTGCTTGCCATTGTTTCCTGAGTATAATAATGTAGCTTTTCTCTGAGTGCTTTCAAGATTTTCCTTTACTTTTAACAGTTTAACCATGGCATATCTAGCTTGGCTTTCTTTGTGTTTATTCTGCTTATGGTTTGTTGAGGTTTTTGGACCTCTAAGTTGATATCCTTCACCAAATGTAGAGGTGTTTGGCCATTGTTTAATATTTTTTGCTCTTACGTTCTCTTTTTCTCTTCTGGGACTCTGGTTACATCTATATTGGACTGCTTGTTCTATTCATGTTTCTTCATATTTTTTCTCTTCGTTCTTCAGTTGGGTGAGTGCTTTTTATCTATCTTTAAGTTCACTACCTCTTTCCATTATCTCTAATCAGCAGTTGAGTGCATCTAGTTAAGTTTTTATTTCAGGCATTTTAATTTTTAGCTCCAGAATTTCTATTTGGTTCTCTTTTCATACTTTCTGTTTCGTGGTTGAGATTCCCTTATGTTCATTCATTGTGTATATAACTTTCCTTAAGTTCTTGAACTTATTTTTAGTAGCACCTTTAGTCCTTGTCTGCTTTCTGTATCATCTGGGTTTTCTTGGGTTTGGCTATGATTAACTGTTTTTCTTTTTTCTTTTCATTTGTTACTCTTTCTTTTGAGTATAGATTATATGTTCCTGTTTCTTTTCATAGTTCAGGATTTTTACTGGGTCCTGGACATCATGAATGATGTGATGTAGAATCTGTGGATTCAGCTGAGTTCCCCTGAAGGCAAGTGACTTGGCTGGATTCAAACTCTCCCTCCTGCAGGAGGCAGCAGTTAAAATCTTCACTTGATTTTTTTTATCTTTGCACTGCTGGATTTTCCCCAAGACCCCTGGTATCTCCCCCACACCTTTGTGGTGTAGTTGCTTAGCCAAAGATTCGGGTGTATTTTGTAGGAAGATTTGGGGATTCACCCCTTCTGTGGCTCTCTCTCTTTCAGAGAACTCTGTCTGCTGATGCTGGGGGGTGGAGGCTGTTGCTTTCTGCCATCCAAGCATTTGTGAATTGAGGCATGCCCCTAGCAAAAAAGCCACAGACTCCTTGGTCTGACCTATAAACCAGCACATGGTACATAGTATGTTAAATTAGGGGAACAGGCCGGTCGCAGGCTTTGGGAGGCTGAGGCAGGTGGATGTCCTGAGGTCAAGAGTTTCAGACCAGCCTGGCCAACATGGTGAAACCCCATCTCTACAAAAGTGCAAAAATTAGCCAGGCATGATGACGGGTGCCTGTAATCCCAGCTACTCAGGGGGCGGAGGTGGGGGAATCACTTGAACCCAGGAGGCAGAGGTTGCAGTGAGCCAGGATCACGCCATTGTACTCCAGCCTGGGCAACAGAGTAAGACTCTGTCTCAAAATAATAACAATAACAATACTAATAAAATTGGGGAACACATTCATGTGTAAATGCCTGTGACACAGAATAACTTGCATTCTGGAAGGTACATTCTGGCTATGGTGGACAGAATATGGTCTCACCATTTATCCCAACACTCATGGGCTCTCCTTACTTAAATAAGATCTGTTTTCACCTGCAGTACAAGGAGCTGGTCTTAGTCAAGTCAGCGTTCTCACTCTATCACCGGTGGACTCTCTTCACAGAGTTCCAGTCACACTATCTCCGCCTAGTATCACTGACGCTACCCACTTGGCATCAGATGAGAACAGCATGGTGTATGGTGTGCAAATGACTGCTTTAAGCGATTAAAGGAAACTGTGAATAAAAGCCACTTCCAACAGAAAAGTTCCAAAGGTCAGTTCTGTCAGAGGGAGAGAGGGAGTTGAGGACTCAGGAAATACACTCCGGGAAATTTACAATGTTTTGTAAGAATAGAAGGTGGGAGAAGTCAGGCTGTGTAAGGTTTAGTTAACGCCCAGCCAATCACCACGTGGCTCTGGGGACATCTAGTGGTGAGAAGTGAGTCAGGCTCACACAGAACCAAAAAATCCCAGACTCTGGGTTGCACCAAAGGGATTTGGGAGGGGAATTGGGGGGTGCGGTGGTGGTGGTCAGGGAATAGTCCCCAGCAGTACAGATGGGATTAAACCAGCACACTCGAATTCAAACACACATACCCCTTTCTGCTTTCCTTAGGTAAATTAGTTTATTATAAGTTTTGCTTTTCATTTTTAAAAGGCTTAAATTTTGTTTTACTCATTCTTAGAGATAAAAACGCTGGGGTGATAGAGAAACATAAAAGTTGTAGCAGATGTCTATTGTGTTCTGACTATGTCATGGGCACTGCAATGTTTGCCTGTCAGTCCTCGGGTCAGTCCTTACCGCCCCCCATCGGGCAGGAGCCATGGAGACCCCCCCCACTGGGAGGGTGACAGGCTCAGAGCTGGCGCCAGGATGGGGGACTGGTGTGCCTGATCACAAAGCTGCCTCCCCACCTAAGTGTGTTTACTGACCTACGTCTGCAGGGCTCAGCAGAGCCGACTGTTTATTTAGAAGTGAAGACTGTTTAAATTTGAGCATTTTCATGGCACAAATTTGTTTCATCTGCCACAATATTAAATGAGTCGTTTTATATAGCATTTTAAAACTATCTATTTGAAAGATGTGTGCCTCTGGCAGCAAAGAAATATATATGTTTATACTTTCCTGTAGGCAAAGATGGCTTTGAACAGAAGGCGGTTTTTACTTACTGCCAAAATTCGTGAGGGCTTTTATCCAGCCCTGGATAAAATGTCCCATTTCTTTACTCCCTCTGCAGATCACCTTTTCCCTCCCTGGCCAGTGGTTCTCACACTGCCCCCCCCGCCCGGGGCGCTTGGCAATATCTTAACACAGTTGTGATTGCCACAGCTTGGGGAGCGGGTGCTCCTGGCATGGAATGGATGTGCTCAGCACCCTGGCAGTGCCCAGGATGGGCCTCCAACAGCAAAGAACTATCCAGCTCAAACATCAATGGTGCCACAGTGGGGAAAGGCAGCCTTAGAGTTGCTCCCATTGTCGTTTGGGGTGTAGCGGCTCCCCAGATGGCAGGCACCCACCCAGAGCTTTTGATTTGCTGAGTAAATGAGTACACAATTGAGCCCTTCAGAAGAGCTGAACCTGCTCAGGCTTGGACACAGAGCCATTGTGCCTGCCTTCCGCTGAGGAATTCCTGCTGTTGTCTGGTGACAGCTCTTTTTGGGTTTTATATTTGGAAAACGTTCTCTGGCCCCTCTCTCCTGTGGGACAGTTGTTTAGCCTATTCCCACACGTCCTCACGAGGTACCACCAGGGTCTCTGCCTCTTGACTTTGAAGAATGTCGCTGGTAACTCCTTCCCTGTCTTGAACTTGTTAGTTTCCTCCTCGGGTTTCAGTGCTTGCAGCCCTTGCCCACCCAATCTCTCTCCACCTTTCTTTAGACCTGAGCATGCAGAATTCCGAGGCTGGAGCGGATTCGCCAGCATCCGTGGCTCTGCGTCCCTCGGCGGCAGCCCCGCCTGTGCCAGCGTCCCCACAGGTAACGCATGCCCACCCGCCGCTCAGCCTCTCAGCAACAGCAGGGTGGCCACAGTGTGGACTCGATCCCTGTGGGTTTGAAGACTGCTTGGATCTGCAGAGAATGGAATCTGCATTTTTCTGAATGGACTTCTCAGCCCTAATGCTGCTGTTGAAACAGCACAACTTCCTTGACTGTATTTGGCTTTTCACTATTTGTTAAAAACATCCCATCAAGGAAACGATGACACGAATGGAAAAGAAGCCACTCCCCCAAATCTGACTTGGTCTCTGCTTAGCGTTCAGTGGGGGTTTTCTTGTACTTGGAAATGACCCTTTCACACAGAAATGCCTTTTTTTTTTTTTTGAGACAGAGTTTCGCTCTTGTTACCCAGGCTGGAGTGCAATGACACGATCTCGGCTCACCGCAACCTCCGCCTCCTGGTTCAGGCAATTCTCCTGCGTCAGCCTCCTGAGTAGCTGGGATTACAGGCACGCGCTACCATGCCCAGCTAATTTTTTGTATTTTTAGTAGAGACGGAGTTTCACCATGTTGACCAGGATGGTCTTGATCTGTTGACCTCGTGATCCACCCGCCTCGGCCTCCCAAAGTGCTGGGATTACGGGCGTGAGCCACCGCGCCCGGCCAAAAATGCCTTATTAAGAAGGCAAGCCGGGTACAGTGGCTCACACCTATAATAATCCCAGCACTTTGGGAGGCTGAGACTGGCAGATCACCTGAGGCCAGGAGTTTGAGACCAACCTGGGCAATATAGCCAGACCCTTTCTCTGAAAAAAAAAAAAAAAAAAAAAAAAAATTAGCCAGGCATGGTGGCCTGCACCTGTAGTCCCAACTCCTCAGGAGGCTGAGATGGGAGGATCACCTGAGCCGAGGAGGTTGAGGCTGCAGTAAGCCATGACTGTGACACTGCATTCTAGCTTGGATGACAGAGCAAGACCCTGTCTTAAAAAAAGAAAAAATGGGCCAGGCATGATGGCTCACTCCTGTAATCCCAGCACTTTGGGAGGCTTAGGCGGGCAGATCACAAGGTCAAGAGATCGAGACCATCCTGGCCAACATGGTGAAACCCATCTCTACTAAAAATACAAAAGTCAGCTGGGTGTGGTGGTGGGTGCCTGTAATCCCAGCTACTTGGGAGGCTGAGGCAGGAGAATCACTTGAACCTGGGAGGCAGAGGTTGCAGTGAGCCAAGATCACACCACTGCACTCCAGCCTGGGTGACAGATGAGACTCCATCTCAAAAATAATAATAATAAAATTAAATTAAATTAATAAATAAAATTAGCCTGGCCTAGTGGTGCACATCTGTGGTCCCAGCTACTCAGGAGGCTGAGGTGGAAGGATTGCTTGAGCCCAGTGGTGTGAGGCTCTAGTGAGCTGTAATCATACCACGCTCCAGCCTGAGTGACAAAAGAAAAGGAAAAAGATGAGTTAGATTCTTAAGATTTGGTTCAAAATGGAACCTAGTACCTGAATGAACATATGCTTTAAATTTGCAGAGAGAGAATTTTCACATTGAGGCTCTCTCTGCTCCTGGATTTCTCTCGTGGAATGAAATAAGGCGTGAAGAAGACAGAAGTACCAAGTGAGTGGCACCGGCCACATTAACCAGCCTGGAGGCTCATCAGTGTGCGCAGGTCCAGATCTGGAACCTCAGAGTTAGGAGCACAGCGAGAAGAAATGGTTACGGTTTCAAACAGTGCAGTTCAGGGCCGGGCGCGGTGGCACACGCCTGTAATCCCAGCGCTTTGGGAGGCGAGGCAGGTGGATCACCTGAGGTCGGGAGTTTAAGACCGGCCTGACTAGGTAAAACCCTGTTTCTACTACAAAAAGAGAAAAAAATTTAGCCAGGCATGGGTGGTGCATTCCAATAATCCCACCTACTTAGGAGGCTGAGGCAGGAGAATCGCTTGCATCCAGAGGCAGTGGTTGCGGTGAGCCAAGATCATGCCACTGCACTCCAGCCTGGGCAACAAGAGCGAAATTCAATCTCAAAACAAAAAGCAAACATAAAACAAAAAAAAAAACACAATTCAGCAAAAATGAAAAGGCAGACAATGAGGCGGCTTGTTTGATTGTGGTCAGACACCTCTCGCTTTTATTTCTTGCACATATGGAAGTGGGAGGGCGACTTGGAAGCCCGTCCGAGGTGGGGATCAGATGCCGTTTTCCCGTTAGCCTAATTGATATGTGTCCTTGCCCACTTGAAACTGTCCAAGAGGAGTCAGCCATCAGGTCCTTCCTGCCAAGCCCCTCTCTCCAGCTCCTCAAGGCCTGGGTAGACTCTGCCTTCCTCCGCAGCAGCCACTGTGGACAGGTCTCACAGCCACTGTGTCCATCCCAGGTTTCATCACTGTGGTCCCTCTGTGAGGCCCTGCCAGGGCCCTGGGAATTCTCCAAGCACACAGTGCCCAGCGCGCCTGGAATCTGAATGCCCTTGCGCTGGTGTCCTTGTTAGCACCATCTTCATCCTTAGCTCCACCCCTGACACACAGGGGATGGTATGTCCTCACCCATCACCCCTCATGATGTATACATGGCAGTCACTGCTGCCCGTGACATTCAGGGTTCATGTCGCATAGTCACAGCACTGCAGCCAGTGACTTCTGAAGCCCAGCTCTCAATAAACACACAAAACACTCGTGTTCCTCCTTCAACTCTAGTTCATTCTGAGTTCACGTCCCTTTCTCATAGCTTTGTGTGGACAATTGGTACTCTCAGAAAAATAGCAAAGCCACACTGCAGACTTGACCTAAGAGGCTGGCAAGCAGTGGGGGTCAGGGAGCCAGGGACCCAGACACAGGGCACCTGGACTCAAGTATTCTGTAGCCAGAGGCCGTCCTGGAGCCCTCGGGTTCATTAACCTCATTAGAAAATGAAAACAAGGCCCAGGTGCAGTGGCTCACAGCCTGTAATCCCAGAACTTTGGGAGGCTGAGGCAGGCAGGTCACCTGAGGTTGGGAATTGAATGTCAGCCTGCCCAACATGGAGAAACCCCGTCTCTACTAAAAATACAAAATTAGCCAGGTGTGGTGGCGCGTGCCTGTAATTCCAACTACTCGGGAGGCTGAAGCAGGAGAATCGCTTGAACCCGGGAGGCAGAGGTTGCGGTGAGCCGAGATCACACCACTGCCCGCCAGTGTGGGTGACAAGAGCGAAACTCCATCCCCCCCAAAAAGAAAAGAAAATGAAAGTTCAGGGTATACTGCAGAACTGGGGGGCGCCACAGAGTACTCTCCCAGGCAGTGATGTGGACGGCTGTCCAAAAGACCCCAGCAGTGCCCTCTGTACTGTGGGTGCCACGTCGATGCAAACTACAGGCCCACAGAGGCAAAGCTGCCTGGGCGGGTGAAGGTGCATGTGCTTCCGTGTGTGTGTGGTGCACGGGTGAGTGTGCACACTGTGTATGTATGTGCATTATTTATGTGCCTGCACGTACCTGCCGTGTGTTTTCCCTGGTCAGTGTGAGTGTACAAGGATGTGTGTGTCTGACCATCACCCCGCTGCCCCCTCTGATCAGTGCCACCTACTTTTTAATAAAGCAGCATAGGAGCAGACAAACAGCCTCTTACACTCTGTGTGTGTCCTCATCACTGACCTCGGAGAAGTCTAACTGCCCTTCTCTCCCTTCCCTTTTAGAGGGTGTTGGTCCAGGCAGCCAGCTCTGCTCCCAAAGGGGCCCAGATGCAGCCGATCTCCCTCTCCAGAGTTCAGCAGTTGCCCCAGCAGGTAATGACAAACACCACAGCACCATGCTCACCGGGGCACGGTCAGCACTCGGCAATCCAGAACAATCTCTGCAGGATGCGTCCTTTTCTGTGGCTGCTGTTCCTTGCTAGGCAGCTTCGGTTTCTGAGCTGAAAGGTTCTTGCAGAAGCTGTGCAATGAAAATCAACCACATACCGCAGATTGTTCAACAAGCCGAGAAAGCTGCTGATCTTCCGCTCATTCAGAAAGTCAGCAAGCTTTGGGGAGCCAGTGAGCACCGCACACCTGCTGGGTGGAGCTCAGGTCGACATGCAGACAGAAGCAAAGGGCTCTGGACGGCAGAAACACAGGCCCTTCCCGGGAGGTGGACCCATCTGCTAGTGGGTGCCATACCCTCGGAGGAGGGCACCGCAGAGGAAACGCTTCTTCTCATTTCGCTTATCTAAGAACAGAGCTGGAACGCATGGCTGACCAGCCAAGTGGCAACACAGATCACTAGCTTGGGGACAGCCTAGAGGCATGGTTGGCTAATTGTTTCCAGAAGCCAAATTATGCATTTTTGGGAGTTTGCGGTCCAGGCAGCCTCTGGACCAACCACTTAACTGCCACTGTATCGCAAAAGCAGCTATAGATGATATGTACCCAAATGGGCATGGCTGTGTGCCAATAAAACTTTATTTACAAAAACACACAGTGGGCCAGAGTTTGCCAACTCTGCCCTGCAGAATCCTAAATTAAAGTTAACTCAGGCTCCTCCATCAAAAGAGCCCTGAGACCCTAGAGGATGCACCTCTCTTCGAGATGACCCTGCCTGGATTGGTAGTGTGTTCCCTAGGAACATTTGCAGATCTCAGGAAGGAAAAGGCTTGAGACGGGCCCAGCAGGGACCCAGGGCCTCAGGCCAGTGGCTCTGTCTGAGCTCCCGTCTGTCAAGGCACTCCCTGGAGACACCATGAAGGGAGAGGAGGCAAAGACCAATGTGTGATTCCAGAAGCTTCTTTGGGGAGCTGGGCCTGTCCAGCTCTTTCTGTAACTTCTGCATTTCAATCCCCCAGAGTTTGACATTTGACTTCTACCCCGGGACACCACCCAACAGATGTTAACCCCGGAGCTTGTGGTTCTGGGGTTTGTGCACTGGACAAGTGCATACCATGCTCGGTGGTCCCAGGAGGGCAGGTCAGCCCCATCCTGCAGCTTCAAGCACGGGGGGACGGTCACCCTGACACCCGAGCAAGCCCACCGCTGTGGCCCTCCATCTTCTCACCCCAAAATTAGGTGGACATGGGCAGCCACTAAGATGCCCTCCGCAGTGGGAACTCGCAGTTCCATGTTCCATGTGCAAAGCATTTGGCTTCCAGCACTTGCGCCAGGGTCCCTTGGAGCCTGTCAGCTGAGCCTCTGAACTAACGTTTCAGTGCAGGGGGGACAGGTCAGCAGGGGTGTGCTGGAGTCCCCACTCCTTCCCACTCTGCTCAGACCGTCACAGTCTCTCCCTTCCTCTCTGCCAGGGAGGGGCGCCAGGGCCACCAACAGGGCGTGTTGCAGCCATGTAGGGTCTAATCCAGTTGACCCCATGTGCTCCCCAGCCTGCTTGCCAGCCTGAGCTACAGAGGGAGACCCTGTCACAAATAAGACAAAAACAAAACCAGAAACCAGGGACAGTCCTGTGAGCCAGGTCAGGGCTCTCTTGTCCACAACTCTGGTTTCCACTGTGCTGGAGGGGTGCTGTCATGCTCCTGGTCTCACTCCCACGTGCACAGAAGAGGGGCCACGGCCCTGGCTTCCCTTGTGTGCCACAGCAGAAAGGAGCCAGGGTGCATAGACAGGCCAGCCGAGCTCTGGGGATCGGTAGCAGCTCCCTGAACTGTGTGGGCCGTTTGGAATATGTCTACTGTACGTTACTGTCTCTTCGGTGTCTTTCTAGGCATGCCAACGGTGGACGGGAACACTGTCATTTGGTAGTAAATATTCATAAAGGCAATAGAAAACACGTCTAGGTTGAATAATATGCAGATAACTAACAAGGGCGCCACAGGTGGTAACAGCGTATCCAATGTTTCAGGTGCAGCCGGTGCAGCACGTGTATCCCGCCCAGGTGCAGTACGTGGAAGGGGGAGACGCCGTCTACACAAATGGAGCCATGTGAGTGTTTCCCCCACAGGTCACACCCAGAACCCTCTCCCTGACTCCAGCCTTTGTCATCTGGGGAGGCATTGAGCAGATTCCTCTCCCTTGTGCTTTGGTGATGTATTCACTAAATGCTATTAAAATGCTGCTAGGAATCTGGGCAACATCTCTACAGAAAATTTTAAAATTAGCCAGACATGGTGACGAGTACCTACAGTCCCAGGTAATCCGGAGACCGAGGTGGGAGGATCGCATGGGCCCAGGAGTTGGAGGTTGCAGTGAGCTATGATCACGCCTGACTGACAGAGCAAGACCCTGTCCCAAAAAAACGGAGTAGTGGGTGAGGGATGAGGACATCACAACCCTGTGGAGATTTCAGAAATCACAGACTTTCATACTTTCAACTTTTAGGAAAGATAGTCTTGGAAGAAAAACAACAAAAATAACCTAATCCTAACTCTTCATTTTGAAGTCTTTGAGATCCAGAAACCATCCACCTCTGTGCATTTTTTCCCTGCCTCTGCTAAACTCTAGCTTTGTATGTTGATAGAACTTGATTTTCCATGTTTCAAGGCCTTCTAGAGTTTTCTGCTCTCTGAGTGATGCCTGGGGCAGGAAAGTCTGCATCTGCCCTGCCACTCACTTTAGACGTGAGTTCTTTCACCTGCTTGCCCGTTTCCATTTGGCCTGATGGCTCCCCTCACAAGTGCAGGGGTTGTGCACGACAACCTGGCTGTGACCTCAGGGCTGTGATTGGTGGAATTGTGTGATTCTCTAAAGCATGACGTTGAAGGTTATGAAACACAGAGAGACACATAAGCGCATGTAAAACCTGTGACGTTGGAGCAAGGTCGGTAGGACCTACGAAGGTCACAGTCTTGGTTTGATATTGTACGATAGTGATATAGATGTCCCCTGGATTAGGGTTAGGGCACAGGAGTGCATGCCTTCGAGAGGTCGGAGGGGACCTTCCTGCCACCCAGAGGGCCTCTCCTTAGGACACATACAAACCTTACTCACCAGTAAGGAAGCCCCTGTGGTGGTGCTCACCCATAATCCCAGCACCTGTGGTGGTGCACACCCATAATCCCAGCTACTCTGGTGGTGCACACCCATAATCCCGGCTGCTCTGGTGGTGCACACCCATAATCCCGGCTGCTGTGGTGGTGCACACCCGTAATCCCAGCTGCTGTGGTGGTGCACACCCGTAATCCCAGCTGCTGTGGTGGTGCACACCCGTAATCCCAGCTGCTGTGGTGGTGCACACCCGTAATCCCAGCTGCTGTGGTGGTGCACACCCGTAATCCCAGCTGCTGTGGTGGTGCACACCCGTAATCCCAGCTGCTGTGGTTTGTCTTTCTGAGACAGGCTCTCCTTCTATAGCCCAGCCTGGAGTGCAGTGGCGAAACCATAGCTCACTGCAGCCTCAGCCTCCTGAGCTCAAGTGATCCTCCTGCTTCAGCCTGGGATTACAGGTATGCACCACCATAGCAGCTGGGATTACGGGTGTGCACCACCATAGCAGCTGGGATTACGGGTGTGAACCACCATAGCACACCCATAATCCCAGCTACTCTGGTGGTGCACACCCATAATTCCAGCTGCTGTGGTGGTGCACACCCGTAAACCCAGCTGCTATGGTGGTGCACACCTGTAATCCCAGCTGCTATGGTGGTGCACACCTGTAATCCCAGCTGCTATGGTGGTGCACACCTGTAATCCCAGCTGCTATGGTGGTTCACACCTGTAATCCCAGCTGCTATGGTGGTTCACACCCATAATCCCAGGCTGAAGCAGGAGGATCACTTGAGCTCAGGAGGCTGAGGCTGCAGTGAGCTATGGTTTCGCCACTGCACTCCAGGCTGGGCTATAGAAGGAGAGCCTGTCTCAGAAAGACAAACAAAAACCCTGGAAATTGACGTGGGGTAAAACTGTCACCTAGCCTTACCAGCCCTTACTCGGTTCTACCAGTCTTTGTGCACATGCACTTGTGTGTGTGCTTGCACATGGAGTACATGTGGCTTTGCAGGTTCGTTTGTGAGGGCTTGCATGTGTGTGCGTATCTATTTCTGTGCATTTTCAGCCCATGTGTAGATTTTTGTAACAATACCACCATCCTCCCATGCAGGAGCTCCCTCATGGGACGCATATATCTGCTTAGAATTTTCCATTTTATCTTTGTTTTTTTAAGAGACAGGGTCTTGCTTTGTTGCCCAGGGTAAAGTACAGTGGTTTAGTCACAGCCCACTGCAGCCTCAAAGTCCTGGGCTCAAGGAGTCTTCCACCTTAGCCTCCTGAGTAGCTGGGACCACAGCTGTGCACCACCACATCTGGCCAAATCTTTTATTTTTTTGTAGAGACAGGTTCTCTCTGTGTTGCCCAGGCTGGTCTCAAGCTTCTGGCCTCAAGCAGTTTTCCCATCTTAGCCTCCCAAAGTGCTGGGATTAGAGGCGTGAGCTACCACACCTGGCCTAGAATTTTCAAGTGGTGAGTTTTGATGAGTCAGCCTGTGGCCCTGAAGATTTCCTGACACGATGGTTCTGAACTTGCACCATGTTTGAATGTCATATGCCACATCCGAAATTCCTCCATATATTGCGCTCTCGGGGCTGCCTCTTTTACATGATGTTTGGATATCCATGAACTCAGACAAGACGCTTAAATGGGACAGTATCCCATGTGTGACTTCTCTCTTCCTCACAGACGAGCGGCTTACACCTACAACCCTGAGCCTCAGATGTACGCCCCCAGCAGCGCGGCTTCTTACTTTGAGACCCCGGCCGGTGCCCAGGTGACCGTGGCAGCCTCGTCCCCGCCAGCGGTCCCCTCCCACAGCATGGTGGGCATCACCATGGATGTTGGGGGGAGCCCCATCATCTCCAGCACGGGAGCCTATCTCATCCACGGGGGGATGGACAGCACCAGACACTCCCTGGCCCACACCTCCCGGTCATCTCCAGCCACGGTATGTAGGAGGCTCTCGGGGCCATCAGGGTAGGCCATGACTATTCTCACAGCAGCGGCGGCAGGGACGGTAAGTAAGAGGCAGCCGGAGGCCCGGAGAGGGCTGTCGTCTGCTGTGGGCCCAGGCGGCCCCTCGATGGAGTCAGGCCAGCCTCAGACGGACCACCCAACCCTAGGCTGGCCTGCAGAGCTGTTTGAACTTCGGTTCGCCATTGGTATAAAGAGGACAAGTCATGCGTCGTGGGCTGTTGTGAAAAGGGAATGCATCAGGCTCTCTCCACTGGGCGGTGCTGTAGCTGCCTTTGCTGTTGTCATTATTGTTCTCGTTAATATCAGTCTCTTAGAGGCGTGGATCGGTCCATCCACAGGACACCTGGACTGAGGAAGCGGGGACGTTTCCTGCAGTCCCTGCCGAGGTCTCACTGCCATGCTCATGTGCAAAATGACTACTTATCTGCTCTTCCGAAGTCTCCACGTTTAACACTCGATTTTCCATGTTTACTTTTCTTTTATTTTCCTTCTTAAATTAACTCAAAGTAAAATCGACTCTTTTGGTGTCCAGCCTTATGAGATTTGACGTGGGTAGATTTGTGTACAGTCAGGATGCAGAACTGTGCAGTGCCCTGAAAAGCCCTTCATGGTGTGTCTTGATGGTCACAACCTCCCCGCATCCCCAGCCGCCGATCTGTTCCCTATTGCTGTAGTTTCATCTTCACCAGCGTGTTGTATAAATGAATCATGCAGATTGTGACCTTTTGAGACTAGTTTCTTTTACTCATTCTGCTGCCTTTGAGATTCTGTCAAGTTGTTGCTTTGTTTGTGTTACTGAGTAATATTCCATTGTACTTATTCATTCACTAGTTAAGGGTCATTTGGATGGTTTCCAATTTGGGGCGATTATGAATAAAGAAGCTCTAAGTGTTCCTGTGCAGGCTTTGTAAGGACGTGCGTTTCCCTTTCTTTTGGATATATACCTACGCGTGCAGCTGCTGCTCATACAGAAGGTGTATGTTTGACTTTATCAGAAACCACCAGAGTTCCCAAGTGGCTGCACCGTTTTGCATTCCCACCGGCAACATACAGGAGTTCCTGTTGCTCCACTCCATCAGCATTTGATGCTGCTGGTGTTCTTGGTTTTGGCCGTTGTGATAGATGTGTGCTGGTACCTCACTGTGGTCACAACTCGCACTTTCTTTATAGTTAACAATGGGAAGCAGCTTTCCATGTGAGTATGTCCCTTTGGTAGATGCTCTGGGTAAGGTGTCAGTTCAAGCCATTTGCTACTTTTTTTAACTAGGTTGGATGTTTTCTTTCTTTCCTTCTTTTGAGATGGAGTTTTGCTCTTGTTACCCAGGCTGGAGTGCAATGGCGCAATCTTGGCTCACTGCAACCTCCGCCTCCTGAGTTCAAGCAATTCTCCTGCCTCAGCCTCCCGAGTAGCCTCCCGAATACAGGTGCATGCCACCACGCCCAGCTAATTTTTGTATTTTTAGTAGAGACGGGGTTTCACCTTGTTGACCAGGATGGTCTCCATCTCTTGACCTCGTGATCCACTGCCTCAGCCTCCCAAAGTACTGGAATTACAGGTGTGAGCCACTATGCCTGACCATAGTTTTACATTTTACATTTAGATCTGTTTCCTGTCAATGTAACGTTTGTATAAGATGTAAAGTGTAAGTTGAGGGGTTTTTTTGGCATATGAAACAAAATGTTGTTCTGGCCTCATTGGTTAAAGAGACTGCTCTTTCTCCATTGGGTTGCTTTAACCCCTTTGTCAGAAGTCATTTGGCCATATGTGTGTGGGTCTATTCCATTCCATTGTTCTGTCTGCCTACCCTTTACAAATAGCACAGTCTTTTTTTTGAGATGGAGTTTCACTCTTGTTACCCAGGCTGGAGTGCAATGGCGCGATCTCGGCTCACTGCAACCTCCACCTCCTGGGTTCAAGCAATTCTCCTGCCTCAGCTTCCCGAGTAGCTGGGATTACAGGCACGCGCCACCATGCCCCGTTAATTTTTTTGTATTTTTAGTGGAGACGGGGTTTCACCATGTTGACCAGGATGGTCTCGATCTCTTGACCTCGTGATCCACCTGCCTCGGCCTCCCAAAGTGCTGGGTTTACAGGCATGAGCCACTGTGCCCGGCCTTATAGTAGGTCTTAAAATTGAATAGAATGGTTCCTTCCACTTTATTCTTCAGTATTGTGTTGGCTGTTTATATAAACTTAAAGTTTCTGTATAAGTTTAGATAGTTTATCTATATCTACAAAAAAATCCTACTGAGAGTTTGATTAATTTGCGCTAAACCAATCTGGGAAGAAGTGACATCTTTACTACGTTGAGTCTTCCAATCCATGAACATGGTACATTCTCCCCATTTGTTTAGCTCTTCTTCATTTCCTTTTGTCAGCATTTTGAAACTTAACCAAAATGTTGTACATGTTTTGTTACATGAAAACAAAGTGTTTCATGTTTGGGGAGCTATTGTAAATGGCACCGTGGGGTTTTTTGGCGTTGATCTTTACATTTCTGTTTCCAACTGTTCATTTCTAGGGTTTGAAAATGGTGATTTTTTTGGTTCTTGATCTTGTATCCTATAACCTTGCTGAACTCACTTTTTAGTTCTAAGAGCTTCTTGTTGCCCTCAAATGTAACTGCTTTCATGCTTTCTTTCCAATATGGACAAAAAGGAATTTCATTTCTTTTCCTTGCCTTTTTGCACTGACCAGGACTTGCAGTAAAATGTTGAACTGGAGTGGCAAGAACGGACATCCTTGCCTTTTTCCCTGTCCTTAGGGAAAAGCCTTCAGTCTTTCACTGCTAACTATGTGATATTAGCTGTATGTTTTCCAGAGATGCCCTTTTTCAGGTTGAGGTAGTTCCCTTCTTTTTCTAGTTTTCTGGGAGTCTCTATCATAAATAGATGTTGAATTCTGTCAAATGCTTTTTAAAATTTATGTAAGCATATTTTTTTCTTCATCAGGGTGTTAATATAATGGATTGCATTGATTGACTTTCAATTACAAAATAACTTCTTATTTTGGTATAAGGCTAATCTCCTGAGATAGAAGGTGATGGTTTAGCCTTTTCTTTGTTTTTTTGGTTGGTTAGTTTTGGTTCTGGTGTATTTTAAGGTCACCCTGGCATCAGAGAGTCCCCATGAATCTTGCTGTTCTCTCTCTTCCTATGTCCAGAGTGACCCCCAGGCCCTGGCTCTGACAACAGGCATAGTGCCCCATGCCTCCTCCCTCTCTTCTTGGGAGGAGTCACTTGCTTTCTAGAGGCTGTGAAATTATAGGGCGGTGTCTGCTGCTTCTACCCCTAGCTACTTAGTTTTAGCACCCCAGGCCAGGCAGCCCCAGCAGACTAGACATACTTTTCCCCCATAGGATTGGCTGGGTAGAACTAGGTTTCATTGTTATGGGTCAGAAAGCTTTCCTCACAGACTACAGGAATTGTCACAAGTGTGGCATGTTTGACTTAGCAAACTGCATCAACTTCTTAAGATAGACTAGGATTGCAAGTCACAAATGTACTGAGAAACAGTAATATTCTCTATGATTTTAGAATGGTCTTGTTGCCGCAAACATGCTGCTTAGACCCTGAGCCACCGCCCTGCCAGTGGTTTGTTATCTGGGTCGCTTTGGAAGAATTGTATTAAATCAATTAGAAATCCATGAACAGGCTGTTTTCTCTCTCACACACGCACACGCACGTACGCACACGCACGTACACATGCACACACATACACACGCACACGCACGTACACACAGACACGTACACACGCACACACACATACACACAGACGCACACGCATGCACGCACACGCACACGCACGTACACAGACACGTACACACATGTACACACACGCACGTGTACATACGTACGCACACACACGTACACACAGACACACACGCACACACACGTACACACGCACACATCTTGGACAGGAATCTGATTCTGGGCTTCCAACTGTTCAGTTGTTGTTTACTGGCCTGTTGTTGGCGTAAGAACATTCTAGAAGGATTCCACAGAAATTGGAGAGACTGTGTAAGAGCCAGGCACAACAGTGGCCCTGAGGCTGCAGCCAAACGGCTGCTGGGCCCAGCACTTGCTGTCTACCTGCTCGTTCACGTCAGAGTTTACTTTCCTGGGACCTTCGCTTCGTCCTAAAGGCAGAGCACGAAGACTGAAGCACGTCCCCACCTTTAGCCTTGACGAGTGATTCCAGACTCTTGGTGACCGATTCTCTCGAGTACTTATTTCTGGTTGAAATGTCATCTGTATTATCAATCTTAAAAGTGAATTGCCCAAATGGCAAGTTTTTGATGCATATTTTCTGCTGTGCTTTTTTCCACTACCTGGAGCAGAGATGGTGAAGTGGGAGGTTTGTTCTTGTCCTTTCCGCCCAGGTGGAGCCTTCTTTTTTAACCCTTTGGGTTGGGTCCAGGGGAGACTGAAGGTCACTCGATGGGGAACAAGAAAGAGACCCCTCCACCCTGGGAGCTGCCTTCAGTGGGCCCTTCCTCCCACAAGACCCAGGGGCCACATGAGGCCATGCTGTGAAAACAGCCTCTGAGGGTCACATGGTAGGCCCTGATGAAGAGAAAGGGTCTACTCAGTTTTTGTCTTTTAAAAGAAGTCCCCATACTTTAAATAAACTTTTCTCATTTTATTAGTTTAAATCTGACTAATACAGCAGCAGATCAAAAAAGTCTAGTGGACTTTCATTGCACAAGTTAAAGTGTCCTTAGTTAAAATGCTAACCATTCTGCCTTTGGCAGCTTTCTTTTTGCCTAAGAAGGGTGTCTTATGATACACGATATATAATACTGTTAAAAGAAAAACTTCCTTTTTTTTTTTTTAAGATGGAATTTTGCTCTTGTTGCCCAGGCTGGAGTGCAATGGGTAATCTCAGCTCACTGCAACTTTTGCCTCCCAGGTTCAAATGATTCTCCTACCTTAGCCTCCCAAGTAGCTGGGATTATAGGCCACCACGCCT